TTTTTCTTATCCATAACATTTAATATTAGTTTATTTGTTTTTTCATCAGATGCATCTTTTCCATAATATTTTTTATGTATTTCTTTTTGAACTGGTGAAAGCATATTCTCACTAACACTCATAATTTCTGGTGCTAATGGATAATCTCTATGTAAATCATGTAATTCTTTTGGATATTCTTAATCAACTTCTAAAATATAGCCTTTGTCATCATCATCGCTATAACTTAATACTTTCTTCTCATCCATCCTTGAAAAATACCACTTGAAATTATCAAACGGTAGTTTTTTACTCATAGCCAGACCATACAAGTTATTAGCATCTAAATAACTTATATAACTTGATGGTTTTGACTTGTCATATTGTTCATTCATGTATTTATTATTTGATTCTACTTTTTTATGAGCACATTGAGTCATCCCGCCACGAAGACCTTTTTCAATCATTTCATACATGTCTTTATTATGTATTTGTTGAAGTCTAACACCAAAAAGAGATAAGAAGGCAGACCACGAATAATTAGGTAATGTTATGTAATGAGCAGGGTCTAAACCATAATAATTTAAGCACATATCCCTAAAGTTTTCAAAAACATCACTAAGCAAATACACATCTGTCATCAAATATAAATCATGGTATTCACCTAGGTTTTTGATATTGAAATTATCCCATATTACTTTTGCCCTTGTGTGTTGTGTATCTGTTATGCCTTCTTCATATAATTGACTGTAAAAGTCTTCTATACTTGGTAATTGCGATTCATTGAATTTATCAAATGAATTCATGTAGTCGTAAGGATAAACTCCTTTTTCAGTTAATAAGTCTAAATCGGTTTTATTTCTAATATATGGATTTGCTGATGAAAATCGGAAATTATCCTCCCAGTCATTCCGCTTTTTATATATAGGTTTATCATGTTCATCCTGACCTACTATGTCATATTTATTTAACTTAACTAATTTATCCAAAGATGCAGAGAGAAAAGCCATGCTATCTTTAAACTGTAATGAACCAAATGAAAATGTAATAAACTTTTCGCTATTTTGTGCTATTACATCTATTCTCTTATTTTCGTTCAATTCCTTATTTATTTCATTTGCTTTGCCTATTATTAAGTGAGAGTCATAGTTTTTTAAATTATGAAAAATACTGGTATCTTGGTATCTTGAAATATCTAAATGAATAATCCAAATTACATTTTTCGTGAGCACAACCTCTATAAATACCAGTAAAATGACAGTGATCACGAACTTTTGTATCTTCTGGTGTAAAATTCTTATTACATATTGAACATACAGTAGCTTTTCTAAATTCTGCTTCTTGTTCAACTGTAATATCCAGTGGTTTATTAACATTCATTTTATCAAAAATATCTTTTTTAATTTCTCTTAATTTATTTACAAAGTGGTCTAAACAATCCTCTCCACGGTATAAATAAGGTTGGCTTGTATTATCAATAGAATTTACAACATTCAACATATAACCGCATGGTTTATGTTCCTGATACGTGCCCTTGATGCCATTATTTGAATTTACAGTTATACACTCAAAATCTCCATAAACAACAAATGGACATTTTAATTTTGTATTGTATTTTTCAAATTCAATATAACTACCTTCTTTTGGTAATTTAAAATGTTGTCCATGTGTTGCCATACAACCAGTTTCATAATGTTTTGTTAATAAATCCTTTCTAGTAAAGGCATGAGAACAATAATGACAACAATGTTTTGTTTGGTCATTTTTGTTTGTTTGCCAGTTCATTAGACGACTTAGACTTTTAATAGCTACATAATGATTATTGTTATTGATTTCAATTTTCAAAAGGTTTATTTGATGTTTAGCATCTCTTGTTTTAGTTCTATAATCAATTATAATTTTTCGTCATTAAACGTATCATCAATTTCATAAACATTGATTGAAACTAGCTTACTATTATTTTCTTCAAACCTTTCAATATCCTTATTACCAGTTGGAAATTTAACACCTTCCCAGTTTAAGATATTGTCGTTTAATTTGTTGTAATGAAAAGTATGTTCTGGGTGACTTTTACTAATCTTATCAAATACTACTGATTGAATACAATATTTGAAACATTTATTATCTCTATTTTGAATATTGATACATGCTTTCTTATGTTTAATCCAATCTGGTAAGTCAATATAACTACCTGCCCTAGTAGGGTCATATTTGTCATAATGTAATGTGATTGATAATATCTTTATAAATTTTAAATTAGATGCTGAACCTTCTAACTTTTCTATGTTCAATAAAATCTCTTTGATTGATTTTTCAATTGCTTCATCCAAATCGGTTTGATTATATACGTTTGCCCTTGTTGCAGGTAAATTATAAAGAATCTCTGTGTGTTTTATTACACCATCATCATCATAATAATGATAAAATAAACCTTCTGCCCTTATATTCAGTTTCATTGCTCTATTAGTTTTCAAAAAGGTCAAAAGTCTATCTCTTTGGTAGTGTATCATTGATAGTGCCTTTTCACCTTGAAAATGTTTATTTACTAGTTTTATAGAATTAGCATAACTTTTGAATGCTGATTGTTGGTCTGTTATTCTGAACTTGTTTTTTATAGCGTATTTTGTCATGGCATTTTTCAATCTTTGTTTAAGGTATGTTGAGCGAATTGTTTTTGTAGCATGACTATTATATTCATTGGTGTTTGCTACTGATTTTAATTTCTTGTTCAAAACATTCGAGATAGGTTTTTCTTTGTTGTATCTAAATTTCCTACCATCTACAATTATTGATTTTAATTCCTTGTTTCCTCTTTTTGGTATTTCCGCTTTGTCATTATTTAGTAGATAATCTATAACATGTTTCATAATACTATACTATATAATTTAATATATGTTTATTTCTTTAAGTTAATTTAATATATGAATACTTAAAGACATATTACTATATATAAATAACTATGTTTTCAGAGCTTGAGGCGATAAAAGAAACACCGCATTTTCTAGTTCTTGACTTTGTTTGTGACAATTATTTAATATCATTTAATGAAAGTAATGTTGTTTATAAACAGGGAATGTATGCTAGATATAAAAAGTGGTGTAGTAAGAATAACAGAGCATGTATAACCTTTCATAAGTTTGATGAAGAGATAATGAAGAATAATGAAGTTAAATGTTTTACTCATTTTGGGAAAGATTATTATACAAATCTTATTTATGACCCAGAATAAGCATACATATTTATAACATTTATTTGGTTAAATGTTATAATTATTTTTCTACTTAAAATCTACTTAAAGAAATATTGACTTAATATATTAAGATAGAAATGGTTGAATTTACTAAAAAAGAGCAAGAAGAAATTATTAATGACTTTTTGAATAAAATGCAAGTTAATGACATTATCAGTAGTTGTAAATGTAAACTAATAAATGAAAAAGCTGGACTAACTAAGTTAAATTTACCTATTCCAATTGTTAAAAACATTTGTGATTTTAATTATGTTGAATGCGAGAAATGTTTTTTATTAAGAAATGCAAAGCAAGTTTTACATAAAAGTAATTTACATTCAACATTGAGACAATGTATTTATGATAAATACAAATTGAAATTTGAAGAAAATACATTTCTAAATAATGACTCATCATTAAGAACATATTGTTTTATAAAGTTAAATACATTTCCTACATATGAAAAAGTGAAAAAATATATACTGCAAGATAACGAAACATATATTTTAAAATTTTATAATGATATTAAATATTACTACGAAAAATCATATGAAGTTAGTTATGGTGGCAAAACTGGAACAACAAGACCAATTGAAGAATTTCATTAAAAATGATATTTAAATTTATTGATGAGTATGATTTATCAAATAATAAAATTGAAAATGATTGCAAGGAAACATTTTTAAACTACATAAAACAAAGAAACCAAGAATTGAAAATCATGATTGATAAACTATGTGATTATATTAAGGATGAACAGAAGAACAATATAATAGGTAAATTAATATATGGTGATGTGATAAATGATATTAAAAGTGTTTTAGGAAACTGGGGCATATATTTTTGCATTTATGATTTTGCTGATAGAAAATATCCATTTAAAAATAATAAACAGAACTTTAAACAAATACCAAAGATTACAAAGGAATATTTAAATACTAATGACTTTGATTAAAACCATAATATAATAATAACATGTAAAATTTTATATGTTATAATTATACTGTACTTATAGTTTGTAAAGATTGAAATATTTTATTTTTTTGTTGATTTGGTTATCTCTTTCAAAGTGCGTTGTTTGAACTTGGCATGCTCTTTTGATTTTTTCGTGCTTTGGCTGTTTGTATTTTATTTTGTTTGATACTCTTCTGATATTTTTTGTTGGTATGTTGCTTTGCTTTTGTTGATGTGTGTTTTTGAGTTTGTGTTCTTTGATGGTTTTTATTTTTGTTGTTTTGTTGGTATGCTTGTTTGAATTATTTAATGATGTATGCTTTGATTAAATATTTTGTTGGGGGTTGTTCTGGTTTTTGAGTTGCTTGGTGGTTCTTATCTTGTTTTCTGTGAATTTTGCTGATTTGTGTTTATGCTGTTTGATTATTTGGTTTTATTCTTAGAAGTGCCGTTTTATGTATTTTTTTGGGGGGGGGTTGGCGGGGGGGGATGGGGTAAAGGTAAAACACTTTAGAGGAAGCCATTGCTGCCATGACCATTCAACGGCCTTCCGAGACCATGAAGGACCGTTCAGGGTCATGACCTTGCAATGCCTCCCCGTTGCATGGCCTGGAGCTCAGGGACCCACGCTGTTCATTTTGACAGCGCACGTGTTGTTGCCGGCCCGCTGTTGTATCGCTAGATCAGGTCATGCCTTCCACGGGTCACTTTCTTGCGCCACCAAGGCACCCCCGTCAACACGTTGGCTTTGCAGAACGCAAGGGGCCTTTCCTTTCAGCAAAAAGTCATCGGGTTGCTGGTCTCTCGCCGAAGCCTCAGAGCGAGCCGCGTGACCGAGGGAGTGGCTCTGCAGCGACGCCTGTCCCGGCATCGCGCTGCAGCCCTGCGCCCGCTGCTGCGACCTCCGCTTGGAGGGCGCTTGCGGGCGGGAGGAGTGCTGCGACCCGGCGCCCCGGAAGCGTCACCCACACCCGCCACTCAAAAGCCAACCATGGTGAGCCTGCCAAGAAACCATGTCCGGTTTTGACCATGGGAACTCTATTGATTTGAATGAAGTTGATGTCACCGGTCGACCGTAGAACGTGCGCACCGGAGGCAGCTCCCAACCACTTTCAAACGTATGGGGCCTTGGCCTGTTGTCGTACCTTGAAGGTATGTCGGGACTCGGGTCTTTGCAGCTTGGGCAACCCTCCAGCAGATGTTGTCAAGACAGATCCTAATCCAAATGGTTGTGTTTTGATCTTTTGGTTTCTTTTCTCCCCATCCCAAGCTGTGAACCGCTTTGTCTCACCATAGCGATGCCAGCAGCCTCCACAATGATGGGTCGTTTCCCTTCACACCAATCCGACAAATGTCTGTGGGTCAAAGATTTGTACCGAACATGGAACCCTGGTAATGGAACCAAAGACTAAAACCTGGGGTCCTTTTTTTTGGGGGGGGACCCATACCCAACTCGTTGTTTTTCTTCTTATTTTTTTTTCTCCCTCCATGTTTTTTGGGACTCGCGCGCTTTTCAGCCCCTGAGGTTGCGCTGGGCCGCCGAGGCGTGGCGGCCTACCGGATCTTCCTGGCCTCCGAGGCGTCGACGTCGACGTCCTCTCTCGGGTTGCTTCGGGCTTCGTGAGGTTTGGGCGCTGGGCTCCCGTGTTTTTTCCCCCTTCCGCGAAAAACAAGGGAGGTGGGGGTTCAACAAGAATGCCGTTTTGCCACTTGGCTCGGGGGTTATGAATGGTGGGGTTTTGCTTCTGGGTTCAGACCTCGCGAATCCAAGCCCGCTATTCGGAGGAAGGCGAGGTGTGCGTCAAAGCTGCTTGGAATTGGGGCTGGGAGTGGGGAGGCAGTTGTCTTGTGGCCGTGCTTGAAGAGAGGGCCTGTGGGCCCCGCAGGTGTGACAGACGTCACTTGCTTGTTCATTTCTGCCGCAGCTGGCGGCCCTGCTTTGCGAGCGCTGCAGTCAAAGTTGCAGGGGCATGAGAGGCATCTGTTAGACCAAGGGAAGCAAAGTGCACAGGAGAGGTTCCTGCTTGTTCCTACCCTCAAAGGGATTCTCTATTGTCACACCTGTTCCTACCATGTTCCTACCCTGATTCCCTTAATTGTGACGCTCCCATTCCGCAGGTGGCCCTGCTCCACTTCCGCGGCTGCGGGATCCGGTGCGCCGTGTACGCCGACCGAGTTCAGGTGGCGGAGCGCCTCGGCTTCGTTGGCGGTGGCTGGGGTCCGCAATCAAAACCAGGAGGGTATGGCGAGGTATGCCCCCCCCTGTATCAACTTTGGTGCATGTTGCCAAGGGATTTTCGGACTTTAACTTTTGCCAACTAATGGGGTTTCCGAATTAAACCGCTAAAAGGTTAAACACTTTTAGCAGGGGAGCGGAAAGCAGCCGAGTGCCAAGGTGTATCACAGAAGTTGCGCCGGTAGATTTGTTGCATGTGCGTGGATCGGCCACTTCGGTTCCAGGGTGACCGGGTGTGAAAGTTGGTTTGAAGAAACCCTGGTGCCCCATAAGGCCAAATGAGAAAGGAGAGAAAGGAGCTGGCTTAGACAACAAGTTCCCTTCTCCGCCACTTTGAAGATCATTTTCTGAGCCAAGATTGAGTGAGTTTCGATTTGGTGGTAGGGGGGGAATATAGGGAGCTCTGTGTCTGGTTGTCTTAAAGTCTTAAGGGCTGCAAGGTTTCAAGGACGTCTCATGTGCAGGAAGCCATGGCCAACTTTGTGGCAATGACATTCCGATTCCGGAGCTTGTTTCAGCTTTCTGTTCCCTTCAGCGCATGTTGCGTCCTCGGCTTGGCGTTTTTTTGTTTTTTTTTTTTTTCTTCCGCCGGCTTTGCTTGGGTTTGGGACGGCGCCAGCGAGGCACGAGGGCAGCTACAGCCCCTTTTGGGTGGACCTGACGGACTTCACGGTCGCAAGCGGCCCGAAGAGGGCGGCTTGGCATGCGGCCTTTCTCTGGTCGGTCTGGGTAAAGAAGGGCAGAGCTTCTACAATGTTTCCACCGAGCCGGGCGTCACCTCTCGGTTTTTCTCAACGTGCACACCCCATGTTTTTGTTGTTTGTCCCTTGTGTTGGGGGAGCCCGGAAAGACAATTCTGCGGCAGCTGCTGGGTCGCAGCTCGGCGAGGAGCTGCTGGTGCTGGCGGACAACCGCTTCTCCAGGTCCGCGAAGCCCCACTTCGATTGGCTGCAGCAGGGCGGCCTTTTGCGCCCGGTCGAGGCGAGGCTTGCGGCGAGTGAAGTGGCCGCCAGTCCTCGCTTGACGCGACGCACGCGATTGCAGAATGCAAGCCCGGGTTTGGGACGGCTCCGGACCGAACGCCAAAAGGCCACCACCAAGCCACCATCCAAAAAGAGGATTTTGGAAGGGATAGCCCATAATGAGCCCGACATCTAGAAGGAAGGTGCCAACGCTTCTGGGCCTAAATGGGTGGTATAGGCAGCACACCGTTGGTAGGTCGACCCGCCGTATCGGTCCGGATCTCCCTCCCTTCTCAGGCGCACGTGCTGCAACAGCCGCCGCTGCGGATCGTTGCACTGGCCGTGCAGCTGGATCTGGGCGGAGTGAAGGCGCACGCCGGGAAGTGTGGGGTAAGGATCACGGGGCGAAGGATGGCTGAACAATTAAGCCCTCACCTTAAAAGGGGACCCCAACATGAGAGCCACAATCCAAACCCGGGTAGATGAAGGTTAGTAAGGGGCAGTCCCAGCCAGAAATAGCTGCGGAATTCCGACTTGTTAATTCTTGAGGCATGGCTCCGGGTAGAGCATTTCAATACCGGGTTTTGATCGTGACTCACATGAGGTTTTAAACAATCCAGGGCTGTGGCAGTGGCATTCACTGGGTGATCTGCGCCGCTCAGGTGTCCCTGAAGCTCTCGCAGAGCTGCCGTGGCCTCGGCCTCTTGCCATGGAAGGGGCTGATTTTCGTCGAGGAAAAGAGGTGGACAGGTTCAAACTGAGTGGCTTCATGCTTGACTTTTTGCCAGTCCTCCCAGAAGGCCGCGCAGCTTTTTGACACATTGCGTGGGTTTCGTGGGGAAGGATTGGGCTGTGGGATCCTTCGTGTGTGTGGTGGGACGAACACAACGGCGCTGGACGCATCATGGTAAAGAAGGTACTTGTATATAGTTGTATGCTTGCTGTGTGTCAGGAGGGTCATGTTTGCTCCCAGTCGCCGTTGCAAGCAATCCAGCTAGGGTTTGCTGCTTGCCTCTGTTCTTTTGGTAGGGAAAAGCGGTGACACTTTTACCCTCCCACCCATTGAGATGGAACCTGACAGGAGGAGGAAAGAGGGGTCATGAGGGGTCCCTTTGAAGGGAAAATGATCTTCCAGGACCCCCTCTGTCAGGTTCCACGCTACTTGGGTGGGGCCATGCCGTTCTCGTCGCAGGCGAGAGGCGGATCCGGCTCCGCCTGGGTGCTGCGGAGTGGGTGGAGCGGAGGGTCCAGGCACGACCGAATCTGTGCTGTGGCAAACGTGGCCTTGGGCGCTTGCCGATCAGGAAGTGTTGGTGCAGGTGGTTTTCGTGCAATTTCTTTGCACGAAGCAGGCTGCTTGCATCATTTCCAGCCAGGTCTGCTTTCTTCTGGCTCGGGGTTTGAAGGGAAGCACAGCTCCACCATCAATTTGCCTCTGGCGGTCGGTTGTCAGCCCCCCGATATGGCAAGCTCACAGTCACCTCAAGTCATGGAGGTGGAGGATCAGTGGCTGGAGCCCGTGGGCGGCTTGGCTTTGTGGAGCCTGGGCGCGCCTGCGCTGCACACTGCCACCGCCTGGCTCTACGGAAGCGGAGCCCAGGAGGGGGGCGAAGGTGGGGCGAAGGCGGCAGGGCGCGTCCTGGGCCCCGGTCGTTTTTCCTTGCTTCGCTGTTCTTCATCCCAAGGGTGGTGACCTTTGGTCTCCCCAAGGCGGAAGTCAACAGGAGGTCGCCTATCTTCCATTTAGTTAAGACTATTCTTGTTTTCCCCTGTTGGTTTTAAAGGGAATCTATCACTAATTACTGGACGTATGTTTACTTTTCCCAGGGGACTTAAGCAAATGGAGGCTATGGCGTGCGCTTCTCAGGAGCCCCTGGATGGGATAGCTGTGCGCTTTGGCCTGCGGCGCGTGGAGGCGAAGCGCGGCCAGGCGGGAGGGCGGGATGGCGGTAAAACCGATGAACTTCAACTTGGAATGAGTAAAACAGTAAAACCCAAACAGTACAACAAACAGTAAAACCGAGTCAAACCAGCAAAACCCAAAACAGAAAACAAACATCGAGGGCGCGCGAGCATCTCAAGCTGTTTTACGGTTTTACTCATTCTCCGTTCAGCAGAGTTTTACTTTGGGTTTTGCACTGTTTTTACTTGGTTTTTCTTGTTGTACGGTTTGTTTTACTGTTTTACTGTTTTTTGTTTCAGCGGAAATCCTTGAAGTTCCAAATTGGACGCGGGTTGCGCTGTTTGTGCTGCTGGCTTTCAACGCCCTGCCCAGGCTGTTGGGCTGCTCCTCCTCCTCCTCCGTGTGGGTCAAACTTAAGCCACCAGGAATTGGACCGCAGGTTTTAGCCTTTGGTTCCATTTCCCAGAGCAAGTCGTTTTGGGTCCTCCTTCCTCCTGTCTCCCCTCCCCCCACTTCGCGCGTGCAAAGCTCGGCAGCTCGTTTAGCATGCTCGGCAGGTGCTGATCAACGGGGAGCCGGTGAGGCTCCTAGGCGTCAACCGCCACGAGAGCCATCCACTGGGGGGGATCTACCTGTCGCAGCAGCAGCTGCAAGAAGACGTCCAGCTCCTGAAGGAGCTGGGCGCCAACTTTGTGCGTGGAGCCCACTACAGCACGGGCCCCACCCGGATTGCGTGTGTGAATGCCGCTTCAAGCGAAGGCATTCTCTTGTGGAGTCAGACCCCAACAAGGCCAAAAGCGAGACTCATTGTCACAGGGCTGACGTGCCAAAATCCATGCAGATTTGGCAGTGCTACTCCTGCTCCGTGCGCTAAGCGATCGCGATGAGGCCAGGACCAGCGCTTCTTGGACCTCTGCGATGAGGCCGGGATCCTCTTCTGGGAGGAGACCGCGGCGTGGCAGCCGAGCCTGGAGGATTTGCAGGCGCCATGGCTGGGAGGAACTGCTCTCAGGGGGGTGGGTGGCTTTTGGGGGGGTGGGGGGGCCATGCAAAAAGACTAAGGGGGTGCCAAGGGCAGTCAACCGATTGGAGGATTTTGGGCCGCAGGGAGCTGTTGCTGTTTGCCACAAGTTGTTTATAGGCGCACGTCGGGCTTCGAGAGAAGCTGAACACCCCGTGCCACCGAGGATCCGGAGTTCATGGCGCAGCAGGCGCAGGCGCTTGAGGAGACCATCGGGGCGTCCATCAACCACCCCAGCGCGGCTTGGCCAGGGGCCCCGGGCCGAACCCGCCCCCAGCTGCCTCATGGGTCATTGTCTAGGTCCCCCAGCAATTGGTGCCTTTCTCAACCCGTTTCTTTTGGTGGGGAGGGTTCCCCTACTAAAATAGGCAAAACAAAGATACACAAAAGTTGGTACCAACTTATTCTAACCTCTCAAATCTGTTCAGGAAGGTGCGGCAACTTCTGGGCATGAGGCAGTCTTGGAAGCTCCGGGGTTGGAAGTCGGCGTCATCAAAGTCGGCAAGCGCGGCAGTCACAAGGTGAGTCTCAATGTCATGTGTAGATGAGGCTAGTCGCTAGCCAGACATAGGTACCACAAGAAGCATTTTGACTCGTGACCATGGGTTCGGGTAGATCAATCTTTAGGCACATCGCCACCAAACACCGAGAAAAGCTCCATTTTTTCTTTCCGCTTCGCCTGGGCTCAGGTCATCATCTGGGGCTTCCTCAACGAGGGCGCCGCAGACACCCCCGCGGCGCGGCCCGCCTACGCGCGCCTGGCGGCCCTGGCGCGGGCGCTGGACCCCCTGCGGCTGGTGGCCTGGGCCTCGAGGCCGGCAGCGGGAGGGGCCTCGTTTTTGAGGGCGGGGGGGTTTTGGGGGGGGAAAATTTGGGGGGGGGGGGGGGGGCGTTTTCTTGGCCTCCCTCAATGCATTCCGAATGGCTTTTTAGTTCCTTTTGGTGTTTAGTGGTTGGATTTCATTTTTCTTGGCTTTTTAGATCCTGTTTGGTGGTTTTCATTTAACCCACAAGGTAGTCACTTTGAGCGGGGGATCTGAGGGCAGCCCAGTTTAGGACACTTATTGGCTTGGAACTTAGAGCCCCATGGTCGAGTTGGAAACCACGACAACAACCATGATGACCAAAGGCAACCACAACCACACTCACAACAAACGGCATGCGTGAAAATGGAGGTGGTGATTGTTGCGCGCATGCAATGCCAGATGGCCTTTCCGCGGAAGTCAATCCAATCCGAAGGGCAACATGAGCCACGTGCTCAAAACCCGAAAATTGATGAAGGTTAAGGGGCAGTCCCTTTGCCAGAAATAGTTGCGGAATTCCGGCTTCTTAATTCTTGAAGCATGGTTCTGGGATTACGACCATTTTACTACCGGGTTTTGATTGTGGCTCACATGAGAACAGAAAATCAGCAGCTTTCCAGACAGCCCACATCCTTTCAGACGGGGCAAGCAAGCAGCACACGCGCCAGCCGAACAGAGCCAGTTGCGGGTGAGTAATCAATTTGATGTTGGCAATTTGGGGCTGCAAAAAGAAGCTCCATGAATTTTGAGACAATCCGGACCCCAAGCGAAAGCAATTATCATCATGGAAGGGTTGGGTATGCTCAAAAGGTATGTTGGTATAGGTCAAAATTAAACCACTAAGGGACCACTGGTTTTAGTCCTCGGTTCCATTTACCAGGGTTGCATTTTGGGTACGTATTTTCGACCCAGAGCTATGTTGGAGGGTTCTTGGACAGGGATACTGTGCATCGTCTCCTTTTCGCGGGGAAGTGCCAGGCACAAGACCCGTGACGTGACGCTGGACTTGGCGGACCTCATTGCTTTCAATGACTACCCAGGCCCACTGATTGCTTTGTTTGGTTTGTTGCGCCCCCGGGCCTGTACTTGATATCTATATATATATATATAGATATGTGTAGTTGGCATGGCCAAAGGGCGCTGTGCCCAAGTTTGATTCCCTTGTCTTTGTGTGTGATGGGTGGACGGCCGTGGCTTCTTCACAGCCGTGTCGATGCGGCCAGGAGGGTCTGGTTCTTCATGAGTTTCCAGAGTGCAATTTGATAAGGGATAAGCAACACAAGTAACGGTGTATCCAGCAGTCCACATTTCCTGCTTCAGCAATTTTAGATACCACTTGTGGGGCACTGTTTTTGAGTGAATATCCGGGGTGATGTTTCAAGGGGCAATATTTCTAGGGGTTGATTCCCCATTCTTTTCAACCATCGTTCCTTCCAAAAACCGGGCCGTTTTCCTGGGTTTCCGGAGGTTTTGTAGAAAGAAGGATCCCTGGAAAGAATGTGGAAGGTCCCCTAGCACATTGGGAGCCTGACGCTGGCGGGTGAGGCTGGTACGACTCCTCCGTCCTGGAGATCCCGTCCACCTGGCTCAAGTACGCCGAGTGGGCCAGAGCGAGCCATCCAGGCGCCGGCTGGGGCCGGGGGAAGCTCAAGCCCCCTACTGATGGACAAAATCCTGCACCAAGTTGAACCCATTAGAAAACCAGTGCTTGTTGGCATTTACAGGGGAATCATCATTCTTAGGTGGGCAGGAGTTCGTCCATCCACAGTATTTCCATGGGGTTTCTTGGGTGGGCAGGATTTCGTCTATCCACAGTATTTCCCATGGTTTATCAACGCGCCTGAAGGTGCTGGCTTGGCAAGAAGCGGAGCAGCATGGATCGATCCACTTTCCCGCAAAACGCGGCCACTCTCCGGGGAGGTGTCTTGGGGGGTATCTGGCAAATCGAATCGGCTTTTGTGGCGGGAGGTTTTGCCACGTGCCGATCACTCAGGTTGTTTCTGTTGAACACTTGCTCAGCTTTCGCCTTACATCATTTTAGTTCCTCTCAAGTTCCGGGAGGAGCTTTGCTCAGTTTCCGCATTTCATCACTTTAGCATGTCTTGGTTGTTTCTGTTGAACACTTGCTCAGCTTCCGCCTTGCATGATGAAAAAGGCATGCATCATGTTTTTTCCGGCATCTTTCTTGGCCCTTTCTTGGGCCCTTTTCCTCTTAGGTTCCGGGAGGCGCGTTGCCCGTGCCGCGGCGAGCGCTCTCGGGGGGAAACTTTTGGCGCGCGAGGCAAGCCGCTGTTGTTGGCGGAGGCCGGCGCGGGCGGCCTGGCTGGCTGGCGCACGGGCGGGGAGGCAGGAGGGTTTTTGGGCGCCGGGCTCGGTGTGGGGGGGGGGGGGTTTGGGGTGGGGGGCCTCTGGGGGGGGTGGTTTTCGGTTTGGGGGGGGTGGTGGGTCGGAGGATGAGGTGGTGTTGGGGGTGGGGGGCGTTTTTTTTTTTTTTTTTTTTGTGTGTGTGTGTGTGTGTGTTTCTTGAAGGTGGATTTGGGCCTTCGTTTGGTTCGATTGCGAGTCAGGGCCCGCCAGGATTGGCCTGTTTTCTACCCTGCATGAATGGGGCAAGTCAGGCTTTGCGGATCTTTGCTCCAGCGCAAGGGGCTCTGGGCGGCCTCTGTTGCGTGTTCTGACCATGTGCGATCTGAATGACGTTCCTGGGTGAGGTGAAACCAATTCGGGGGGGTTGTTCTTGTTCACTCAAACCTTTAAACCTTCTAGGACGGTCTGACCCCTGCATCTCCTTGAAGCATCGGGTGACCTATGCTGGGTTGTGTGGTGCTGCCCAAACTTGACAGCTTGGCTGTGCTCCTCAGTAAACACTAGGAAGCTCAGCGCGCATTTACCGCCCTTGTTAGAGGGGCATGCGCTGGGAAAGCAGCCACATTTGGCCATGATAGGCAGGGGATTCTGTCCGCACATGGACCCATGCCGGCTGTCGGTCAACAATGCATGGGCACGGCCACTAGCCAAAGGAGTTCGGCTGAAGCGAGCCCCCGCGCGCTTCCAGGAGATGTGGTCTGAAGACCTCCAGGCCGCCATCACAGGCGTGCTTGAGAGGGGGCACCTTGGGGCCAAAACGCCTTCTTTCCTTTCCCAGATCGAAGGCGCGAGCATGTGTCTTGCCCTAAGCCCCAAGGATGAAACCGGGAGGTGTCTCGCTTTCCCTCGAGGAAGGTAACATGGCCGTGGGTCAACACCAAGTGGTTGGATTGGGATGTTCACATTTTGGAACCTATTTTTCAGGTTGGGATGTTCACATTTTGGAACCTGTTTGAGTGGTTGGATTGAATCGGATGTTCACTGGGGGTACGGGCTTTGGGTTTTGACTCTTTTGACCCACGGCCAAATGATCTTCCAGGACCTGTCAGGTTCCATGCTTCCTGGCTGGGGGGGAGGGAGGGGAGGGGGGAGCAAACCCAAATAAGCCCAAAACAGGACCCTTAAGCAAGGCTTTTCACCCACGGCCACCTGAGACTCGTGACTCGCTCGACGGGCAGGCGCCACGGTGGCGGCAGCCCTGGCGGCGGGCTTCGCCGGCATAGCGCTGTGGCAGTTCGCGGATTCCCGGGTGGACCTGGCGCTCTTCGAGCAAGAGACGGGCCTCTGGCGCCCTGGCGCGGGGTGATTTTTTATTTTTGCCGCCGGGCAAAAAAATCGGGAGGCTCGGCCGGTTTTGGGTGTGGATGGGGATGGGGGAGGATCGGGGGAGGATCGGGGGAGGACTATGAGAGTGAAGCCAAGGTAGGTTTGGGCTTCCAATGCAGAAATCCCCGGCATGTATGTTTTCCCTGTGCCAGCGGCCTTTGTTGTCGGGGCCTGGTAACTTCACAGCACGGTGCCATCAGGCAGTGGTTCCCGTTTGCCTCGTTTTCTGTTTTGAAAGGAAGCGACTCCCAAAGACCCTATGACTTCAACCCCGAAATTTGACCAACTTCCAGGGCGTCCCATCGAAGATGGCCCCCCCCAAACCCATGCCCCCCCGAACCCCCTTGTCCCTTGTAGCGCGCTGTGCAGGCCGGAAGCGGCGCCCCTGGTGAACGTCTCCGTGCAAGCGGGCTGGATGGAGCAGCTGGCCGTGGGGTATCAGACCACCAACGGGCTCCTGGGCCGAGCGCTGCGACCCCGGGGCCTCAACAACAAGGGCCTGGTCTCCATCTCCCGGTGCTGGGGGGTGCGGGGGTCAGGGCGGTCAGGGGGGGGGAGGGGGCGGGTTTCCGCCGCTTTTCTTTGGGTTGATGGGCCGGAAACAAAAATCTTGGGGAGGATCTGGGTGGTTTTTTTCTCCCCTGCTGATGTGAATCATGTGGATGGCTTTGCTCTTAGCATGGGAAAGAGCTGTGCACGCGTGGGAAAGCCCTTCAGGAATGACTGATGAATACTCCTCATCGATGTGGTCTCTCTCATGGCTGTTCCCGGCCAGTACATAGCACATGCAATTTTGGGGGGGCTAGTTTCTGTGATGCCAAAAGCGCATTGCGGACGTTTGAGGTGGGGGTAGTACTTTTTTCCACCCGACAAACTCCGAAGACACATTCGCCCAAGCCTCTCGGAAACAAGCAGGAACTGCGAAGACGCAATCCCCAAGCCGAATTCCAAAGGACGCCGAAGTCCACCCCGAAGACGAACTCCCTCCCTAAGCCGAATTCCTCCCCTAGCCGCCCAACCACTTGCTCCCCACTTTTCAGAACCACGCAGATGTGCTGGAGACATGTTGCCAGACGGGGTCATGGTAGACTCCTGCTCAGAGTCCCTGTCTGCATGCTTCAGCTGCCAGGCGCCCGAGAACGACAGGAAAAGGATTCACAATACACGGCTTCCGAACCTGCACGTCCGCTATGGCTCACTTTCTCATTATCGTTGAAGCATGCGCTTGGCGCCCCACCCTTCCAGTCTAATTCAAGATTTCCTTTCGAAGGGCCTGGCAGTTTGCCCCTGCTAGTACGACGATTTCACCAGGACCATCTCATGGGGTTTCTGCCGCAAGCGTTGTCCCCTAACGTAGCAGCGGTTTCCTTCCGATTTCCTTCAAAACGCCAACGAAAGCGGGGTCCCTGCACATGGCCCGAGTGATACGGAATATTTGAGTTGGCCGCCAGGCAGCACCGCAAGCTGGCCTTCTATGCAGCCCAGGCGCCGGCGCTCCCCATCAACTCTTTCCATGTTTTCCAATGACTGGTAGGGCTCCTTAAAAAATCAATTTTTGCCCATTTGAAACATGGCTTTTTCTACAAACATGAAGGGAAACCACCATTTACAAGACAATGTTCCGGTGTATAATGTCAGGATCCCTGTGACAACAGCCCCAAATAGGGGGGCAAGGCAAGCCCCGTCCTTAACCTCGCGATTGAGCAGATAGGGAACCAGACCTTCCTCCTTCATGGGGAAAAGTAGAGCGCCCTTAACGAACACGCAGGTCTCCAGCTCCAGGCCGGTGAATTTTCATTCACCCGCAATACCCTCACACCCCGCCACTAACATGGCAAGAGAAGGTCTTTTGAGGAGGACAGGTCAGGTTCCATGTTAGTTGCTGAGGGGGTGGTTGAGACCATGTAGTTGTATCCCAGGATGAATAAACCCGTCCAATTATTAGAGGGGTGTTCCCTCCAAAACTGATGAGTCCCCACTAAAAGGAATTGGACACCTCCCTATTAATCAACCAGGGGTTTATTAATCGTGGGCTAACATTATCATGTATCATAGGTGTCCTGTTTGGTTGTTTTGCTGAAAAAATAGATGGCAGTTCCTGGTAAACCCCAGGTGGTTTGATTAGTCATCTACCAGGGAAACCCATCTATTTCCCCTAAAAGGGCACCTATGCCACGTATCCAAACCCCGTCCCAAGGGGCGTGTTCCCTTCAAAAGTGATGAAGCCCCACTAAAGGGATTTGGACACCCCCCTATTAATCCACCAAAGAAAGGAATTGGACACCCCATATTAATCCACCAAAGAAAGGAATTGGACACCCCATATTAATCCACCAAAGAAAGGAATTGGACACCCCATATTAATCCACCAGGGGTTTTTGAATCCGGGGTTAACATCATCACCCCTTCCATCACCCAGGGCTTGGGTCGTGTTTTTGAGGAGGCCTTCCTCCCCTCGTCCTCGCTGCCTCTCTTCGGGCTCCTCCCGGCGGAGACGGAGCTCTGCGAGCTGCGGGCCGTGGGAGGAGGCCCCAAGCCCCACTCGTGGGGTCTGGGGGGGAAATGTCGACTTCGGTGAGTTCCTGGACTTCATTCTGGGGGCAGTTTCCATCTCTCATCTGCTGGGGCGCCAGCAAGAAGAAGCGAACTTGGCGAGTCTCCGTGCAACCAAAACCCATTGAACACCATGTTTCTAGGGGTTGATTCCAATTCCCCATTCTTTTAAACCATCGTTCTTTCCAGAAGCCGGATCCGTTTTCCCTGGGTTTCCGGAGGTTTTGTAGACAGAAGGATTCCGTGGACAGAATGGGGCAAGATACCCCTAGATTCATACCTTTTGGGAAGATTTGATATTGAGGACAACTTTGAGCGATTTCTGGCCAAGGCACTCAGCAAGCGAGAATGTGGGGAGGTGGTGTGAGTCGTAGCGGGCTCGCAACCATCCTTGTCTCAACGGATGTCGAATCAGCACCAGTCGAATGATTTCTACACGTGACAGACTCTCTGGGACAGGCTTTTTCTACCTGCGCCGCGCAGGTTGCGCAGGCTGCGCTTTGGCCGTCCATACTTGGAACGCTGCTGATAGGCGGGGCGTGGCTGATTTGTTTCCAGGGAGCTGCTTCAAGGGTACAAGCGAGTACCAAGACAGGGAGAAGAGAGGTGATGCATCCCAACAGTTTTCCAGAGTTGGACCATCTTGCGGCTGACCAGTCTTCTGGCTCGAGAACTGGACGTCTACCTTTCAGTTGTTTGGAGAGTTTCCGCCAGTGTCTGCTCCCATGTTCCTCCGCCAAGTGCAAAGAAAAGGAAGTGCTTGCACTTGTTCCAGGGGCGATATTTTTTCAGGCAGCAGGTTCCTTGTCAGGTTCCTCTTATAAACAGCTCCTCTCCTCTTTTCGGCTCCTCTTTTTCTGGCCTTCTTGTGGAAAGCGTCGAAAAACCGGGTGGGTGGGTTTCTCCCCCATTCTTCCGCCCCCCAAACGCCCAGCCGCGGCGTCCGGTACCTCCCGGGCCTTCCGCGAGGCCTTTGGGGGAGTTGGGCCTGCGCGCCCACGGGCACCGGGCCAAAGGCCGCGCGGGGCGCTGGACGCTGCAGCGGGGCCTCATGCGGCTGGCAGGCCGGCCGTTTCGTGGGGCCCGGCGAGCGAGGGGGCGATCGAGGGGGGCGAGGGGATGAGAAGTGGATGCAAGGAGCCGATTTTCATGAAGGTCTCTCTTTCCGATTTTTTTCTTGGTGGTTTGTCCGGCCAATCTCGTGATTTTTGTTTGGGGGGGGCCCGGAGGGGATGCCTAGAACCGCTTGGAGCGCGGGGTTCACCCCACAGCATGGGCCGTCTGGAGTGCGGGGTTGAACCCACAGCATCCCCTTGGTTCCTCGGATGGGTCTGGGCATGAGACCCATGATGAAGGTCTCTCGCTAGCCAACCCATGAAGGTCTCTCGCTAGAGCCGCTAGTTGCAAGTGTCCGGTGAATGAACTCAGAGTTTCTCCAGGTTGATGCGAGGGCCCATTCATTGGTGCCGCAAGTTGCAGCTTGTCCGCTTTGAACTGCCAAAACCCTTATGGTCCACATTGAATTCCCAGCCCAAAGGCCCTCACACGCTGAATTGTGCCCTGGTCTCGGAGAAGGCACTGCCGACCTCACTTTTTAACTTGAACCAGGCCAGTTCTCCTGTCTCCATTTTTTCGCCCTTCTTGTTGGCAACCTGGTGAGAGTTTTCACCAATCTGTCGGATGGTTTCGCCAGAGTGTGCCAGCCAACCTGCTTCCCTTCGAAACCAGCCAGCCCTCAAGAGCTCAGGACTCTCTCTGTGTTTTTTTGGCTCTAGGCCACGCCGATGGCCGCAGCGCAGCGCTGGGAGGCTTCCTCACAGTGGCAGGTGCGCTGAGTGGCTGTGGGGGGCTAGGTCCATTCGCTTGAGCGGCGTGTCATTTTCTCAACGGCACCGGGGGGGGGGGGTGGTAAAAAGGGGGGAGCTGGGGGGAGTGATGTTGTGGGTTGCTTGTTCTGGTTCTTATGTTCACCTCAAACCTGTTGACCACCTTCTTCGTTTTGAAGAGACAGATTTTGGGGAGGTGTTCCATCGTTCTGTTGGAGGCGGACAATTTGGACTCTTGGCTGCCTTTTTCATTGTTGAGCTGGGGAGACTTTTTTCCGCCTGGAAAGAGTTGGAACTTTGAGAGGTTTCGGGATCTAAGGTTGGGACATATTTCCGTATGTTAATTTCATGTTCCGAACTGCGCCTTTTTCCCATTGCCAATCTTTGCAGCTTTGCAGTTGGGTTTTGCGGCGGGGGTGGCTAGGTGACTTTTCCATCGTTCCGTTGCCCTTCACGCTTTTGTGCTCAACGTAATGCTGCTTGATGCATGTTTAGATTGGGATGCCATTTTGTGTGTGTGTGTGTGTGTCTACTTCTGGGACATTGAAGTGTGCGGTAGATATCAGGCTGGGCTTTCAGTTGCACCCGTTCGCTATGGCCTTGGGGACGCCCAGGTGCAGAAGCCAGATAGTGGAGCTACATCAGTAGCGATAAAGAGAGTCCTTTTCAGCATGACCCTTGTTGTATGACGGAATCGGCTGCCCAGAGGCAACAGTCCCATCTCTTTGGCAGTACATGGTGTGGCTGTTCAGATCAATTGCACTCTGTCGATTGGGGAGCGCAAAACGTAAGACAGCACAATGCATTACCCGCATGAACTGACAAGCTTAGATATTGCCACTGACCAAACTTAGCCGGTCGCTCGGTTGAAGCCATTTCGATCGGGCTCGCTCCAAGACTTCCTGAGCCGCAGCCTGCGACTCTGGATGGCCACCTTGGTTGCTTCGGTACCAACGCACTTGCTTGCGGGTGCCATCTTGGCACTGCATCATTTCGCTCCTGACAGCGTCCTGGAGGCAACACGTTCTCTCGGACCGCTTGGACAGTTTCTTCGCGACTCCAGTGTCATCTCCGAACCAGGTATCAGGAATGTGGTGAAACTCTTACAAACCTCCTTTCTTGCTACCAATGATCCCAGGGTGGTGGAGGCGTGGAAAAAGTTTGGCGACAAAGTGTTCCGCGTCAAGATCGACCGTGAGAAGATCAGTAAGAAGATCATAATCATACTGTATGCTGTCGTTGAAAAACAATTTCTTTCTGATCCTGATCCTCCTGATCTTGAGAAGCCCAGTGATGATGAGTCCACCGGCAACGAGTGCAACGAGTGCAACGAGTGCAACGTGTGCAACGATTCCAGAGTTTGGATTGGGGTTTCAGCTAGGGTCATTGGAGCTGCGTCAGTGGGTGCGATGACTGGAGCCATGTTTGCAGGCTATGCGATGCACGCAATGTCGCAGGGACGCTTTGAGATGGCACTTGACGAGTTGGAGAAGCTCATCGTCATGGAAGGATTGGCTATTGGCACAGCAGCTGGCACAGCAGCTGGGCTGGCTGCAGCGGCAGCAACGGCTGAGTCAACTGCAGGAATTGCAGCGGTAGCAACGGCTGAGTCAACTGCAGGACTTGCAGCGGTAGCAACGGCTGAGTCAACTGCAGGACTTGCAGCGGTAGCAACGGCTGAGTCAACTGCAGGACTTGCAGCGGTAGCAACGGCTGAGTCAACTGCAGGACTTGCAGCGGTAGCAACGGCTGAGTCAACTGCAGGACTTGGCGTGGGACTAGAAGCAACCAGTGTATTCGCAGCGGCTCCTGCCATGACATCGGCTGCTCTTTGCGCAGTACCTGCGCTAGATCCAATGTTGGCAGTGATTGGTCAGTTCTTGGCGAGTTCTTGGGGAGCAGGTCTTGCTTCGTGTTTGGGCATCAGTCCTGCAGTACTTGCAACACAAGTCGCTGGGTTCTTGGGCCTGACTCCCGCAGCACTGGGCATAACCATTACCACGCCCGCTGTTTCCTTGGCTGCCGTGGCTGGCACAGTTGGGGTTGTTGTTGCTGGTTGGGTGGCACTTCTCACTGCTGGAGCCTACGTGGCGGTGCAGGCAAAGAGGCGGAGGATCAGATGACGGACAGTTGGTCCATCACTGATATGGGACAGGTGGGTTGTGCCTGTGTTCCAGTCGTTTCACTCCCAACTACTTTTGACCCAGTCTGATGGTAGATGCCAGTCAGCACAGAGCAATCCTGAGAGTATAGAAATGGCTTGTGCGCCAAACTTGGGTTGTTGCTGGTTCAGTGGCACTTCTCACTGCTGGAGCCTACGTGGCGGTGCAGGCAAAGTGGCGGAGGATCAGATGACGGACACTTGGTCCATCACTGATATGGGACAGGTGGGTTG